AGTCCTCGTTCTCGCTGTGTTGCCCCTCAACATACAAATGTATATAGCATGACAATTGCGCGTTTCATTTAATTTGTAAATTAACGAGCAATTCTATCGGCAAGCAGATCACCAGCATTGCATTTCTCAGCTAACTCTGACGCTTTGCAGCAATGCAATTGATCACAAAATAACCCCACCCCGAACATTAAATACCCTTTTAGGCACTTGGCTGGTAAGTGTATTTCGAATGGCAAATTTAACGACGGCAGATCTTTCCTTTTCCTCACTCGTGCGGTCCGCTTATCGACTTAAAGATGCTGTTCTAGGCTTTTGGCCGAAACTAAAGCTGACTTACAGAGATACTTTTCTGGCGGCCTAAATAAGGCGTTAATTGTATCAAATGTTTAAGGAGCAGAGTGAAGTTTTCATACAAGCTATGTATATTTGACTGATCACTATGACAGTTACATAATATTGAAGTCCGATCAGGCTAATTTTGACATATTTATGTTGATTAGTGATTAGTTGCCATAGAATATTGACTCGACTGTTAATACTGATGAAGAATATATACGCTTTATGGGCGCGGACTTATATTCCTTTTAGAAATTAAGTATATATTTCACATTTATGAAACATCTTTTGTTTCGACAATTAGTCAATAATAAATTAGTTTATGTACCATGCTTGATTGTCATATGAAAATGTTACAAACAAGAATTTCATGGCTTGTGTTCAGCTAATCTTTTTCCAAAACCAAACCGATTCAAGGTTCCGTTCATGGTAAATAGAAACCGGTTGGCTCAGATTTACAGCTCTGAACAAAATATTTGAACATACTTTATAATACCATTAAAAAGTGTTATCTATTTTTAATAAATTCAAATCATAGCATTGAGCTTTTAGGTTTTTGGTCTTTGCACATGGAGTTCGAAATGGAAAGGGTTCTTCATATGCAGTGCTTAGTGCTCTAATGGAGCATATACCCTTTGAAGTGCGCAGCGGCAGGGTATGTGGTTATATGCGTGCGCTTGGGTTATAAATGAAAATTCAAATGTAAAAAAAGTCACAAAATGATTGCCAGTGTGTAAAGTGCACATATATTTCAATTGAAAACATAAAGCGCACAGGCCCGAGGGTTGCCTTTGGCATTGCCGACGCTTTCGTTGCAGTTGCAGCTGCATTTGGTATGCGGCGCATCCGCATAAATATCACGATGATGACCATCACGCTGATGACGATGATGATGATGATGATCAGCCGCTGGGGGCGCAGACTCTGGAGCTGGAGTCGCGGTATGCAGGCAACATCTTAAATATATTTTCTAATTACTTGTTCGCGCTCGCCTGATGCTATCAGGCTTGCCGCCTCGCCGCCTTGCCGCCTTGCCGCCTTGTTGCCTTGTTGCCTTGCCACAGCCTCAGCTCCATTTGCATGTTGCCGCGTTGAGGCGGGCAAAAGAGCTGGCCGCTTCGGTGTGGGGCAGACGTGGCCTGGGGTTGGCCTGAGTGCATTGGCGACACACAAATTGTAAATATGATAGAAGAACATGCTGTTGCTGCTGCTGCCTCGCGTTTTGTGAATAATTATTGCAATGCGTTTTCTCGTTTTTTTCTCTCGCTTTTTTTTTTTTTGCTCTGCACGCATCTACTCGAACTTATTTATGTGTATATATAGCGTATATATGCAGAATTGTTAGCCCTTCTTCTTCTGCAAACAGAAAAAAAACACGCCAGAAAAAACACGCCAACTCTTCAGCCATTCGCGACTTTATGCTCATTCATGTTCTTATAGAACACGCCCCCTGTCTGCCAGCGTGTCTGTGTGTGCTGCATAGCCCTTTGGCATTTGTTGTCTGCGCTTTAAAGTAAACAATACCACATTTTGCTCGCTGGCAACTTTAACACAGATCCGCATCCGCATCTGCCGGGACAGTTACAATATTTGCATATGCGTTCAACATATTTTGCGGGTGTTTCTAATTAGCAGAAATCGGCTTGGATGGCCGGCGAAAGTCTTGAGCCACAACCGCAGGCTAATTGGGCAGCCTCTAGAAACTCAAGCGAACCACACCATGCCACCACCCCCTTCACACCACACAGAATGGCACACACACACACACACAGCCAGCCCTGACACCAGGACCAGGAAACTGTTGATGATTTTCCCATCGTGTATGTTTTTCACTTCACTTTCTTTTGCAATTTCACTCCATAAAAAAATCAAGTGTGCGCCAGTTGACTTGAAGATACCCTGTAATCCGCTGCACTTTACTTTTGCTGTATGAAGTTTCTTGAAAAGTTTGCAGCTTTGTTAAAAGGGGCCTTAACATATTAAAGCGCTTCAAACTTGACACAAATATATAGCGAAAACTAAAGGTTGGAAATGGACATGGATTTAAAGATATGCAGAATTGTCGAAATTACTGCAAGTTGCGCTATATCGAATTGTGGGCAGGATTTGGATGGACTCTATAGATTTAAGAAACGTTAGGATGGGGATTGGAATGGGAATGGGAAGGGCTAAAAAATGGCAGGAGCGGATCGAACTTTCTCTTCCATGCACATCTCTAATTGGAACCTTGAAATTTGGTTTTTTATAATTAAGAGTAGAGAGCTATAATATTATATAATGTGCAATACGCAAATGTTAGAAGAACGAAAGATATTCATGAACTGGTTCTTATCAGGAATACATGTGCTTAAAGGGGTCGGCTATGCACTTTACTTCAAGTTTATACAGGGTGTAGATAAAAATGCATATATGCTGTTGGGGTCGTCGATTAGAGGCAACTGGCAAAACGGAAGAGACAAAAACAAAGTGTGGCAAACTAACGAGCACGCACACGCACACGCACACGCACACTCGCACACACACACACATTTTAGCTGCATAAACATTGTCCTGGCCAGGAGTGCACGCCCACACAGATTGGGCTGGCTGCTTGAGTGCTTTTTGCTGCCAAATTCACCAGCTCCAGCATGGTTTGCACACATTTTGCAGCTCCTGTTTGGCTTTTTCGTACGTAGCTTCTTTTCTTTTCTTATTTTTGCTTATTGTTTTTGTTGTGCTTTGTAGAGAAGCGATTGTTGTTGACAATGCTTTTGGGTTCTCTGATGTTGCAATGGCATCATCAGTGGCGGCTTTAAGTGCATGCAATTGGTGGCAGCCTGTGGCCTGGCAGGCTGTGGCCAGGAGTTAAGATTATCGGCTCGGGGCTTTAATTTCAATTCATAGCAGAGTTGCTTTGATTCAAGCTGAACACCCGCTGTGCTTCGATTCAATGAACGAGTAGCTAAATTTAAACGCTAATTTGGCGACCTGCTGTGCCAACCAGAGCGTAGTGCTCCAACGTCTCAGTGCCCAAAACATTCGGGTTCTCAGAGTCGTCTCAGGTTACTGCAACAGCCAGACAGCCAGACAGACAGACAGACAGCTAGACAAGGACAAATATAGTGAGAGAGACAGAACCAGAGATCAGGGGCAGCTACTCAAATTACCATTGAATTCAGTCTCCCTCTCGGCCTGCACTTCAACCTGTGCCAAGCAGTCATAACTTGGTGGCATTATCATCGTCAAGTTGATTATGTTCTACACAATATTCCGTCTGCTGTCTGATCGGCTGTCCCTGCGGTCTGCGCTGTCCTTTATCTTGGCCAGAATCTTGCCAAACCACTGACATTATCATTTAGCTGGGTATCGCTTGTACCTGTACTAAAATAGGTAAAATTATTATGTATACAAAAACGTTGGCAAATTATTTTCTTCTGGCCTGTTGCCAGCTTGAATTCGCTTCTCTTGAGCGAAACAGCAGAACACGCTTTGACTATTACTTATTCCAATATATCCCATATAAAAATGTGTTTATAATCTGCGACTTTCAATATAAATTCTGCAACAGCCTTGGGTATCGAACATGAGCGTCATCTATAGTAAAGGCTTCATGGAAACTATTTCAAAAGGGAATGTTGCTTCGCATTTCACATTTTGTAAAGACTGGCAAATATGTGTAGTAAGCAATAGATGGCATCTTCAGTCCGATTTGGTATCAGATATCTTGATCTGCCTGATCTGTTTATGTAGCTTTATCTATGTGCGGTCTACGCGTGTGTGTTAAATATCCCCCTTCTATGCGATTTTCATGGACTTATGTAAGCGACGGAGACGCTTTACTTTTTATGTGCTATTTGATTAGAGATTTTAAATTGTATTCAGAATAAAATAGAACGATGCCCTCCTCTTCCGTTTCTCTCGTAGTTCTTCTCTTCTCATATATGGATCATGCTTGAGCCTATATACTTTGAGGAATGTGTTGTTATTGTTATTATTTGTTCATTTCTAAATTCAACTTAAGTTTGAGTGCTCTACTGAGAATCGGTTATACCTGCTGCATATACATAGCTTATTTGCGTTTCCTTATTCGATACGAAGGGATTAAGAAACTGAGGTAAATTCAGTTCTTTCTACAGAGTATCAGCCAGCCAAGCACATATTTTCTTCGGCATTTTCGCATAGGGCATCGCGTTGCTGTGCAACATTTTTATGGTTTTTTTTTTGCCAGCCCTGTTGTTTTCAATTTATGCTACAGCGTATATAAAAAGCTGCTATTAGAAAAAGTAAAGCCCAGTAGCGGGCACTGTCTGGGGATTCGTGGCCGCCAACCAAAGACTCACTTAATTAGCAGCAATTAATCTCGCTTTGGGCGGAAGGGAGGTGTGGGTACATGTTGGGGCAGATTCATAGGGACTTGGGACGGCATGTGTGCCCGCAGGCTGCTGATGGCTGCTGTTGGCTGCTGGGCGCTAAATGGAATGCGAGTGGCCGCTTCCAAGCGCTTGCATTTGAATGCTTCGCGCTTTGGCCCCAGCCAGTGGAGCGTGCCAGCGGTTGGGCGCTGTTGGCCGCTGGCAGTTAAAGTTTCAGGAAGTTGTTTTGGCATTCGTGCAGCTGCTATTTTACCACTTAGCTACTAAAATATTTAGTTAATTGTCGCTAAACTCGACTCATTACAGCGCCGTTCGAGCAGGGAGCAGCAGCAAGCGGCAACATGTGCCATGGAGAGCCTGGGACTGGGCAGCAGACGCAACAACCACAGCAACAACAGCAGCAGCAACAACAGCAGCGGCAGCATAAGCAACAACAACAACAACGACAACAGCAACAACGGCGGCGGCGGCGGCCTGGGCAACAACAGCAGCATCAACAACAGCAGCAGCGGCAGTGGCAACGCGAGCAGCCATCACGGTCATCCCCATCATCTGGCCAAGCTGCACGTGCACTCGCACTCGCACTCGCACACGCACACGCACACACACTCAAAGCTGAAGCACTCGCATCCGCATCAGCATTCGCATCCGCATCAGCATTCGCATCAGCCCGCCAACCAAAATTATTACACGCAGCAACAGACGCAGCTGCAGCGGCTCAAGCAGCAGCAGAAGTTGCAGCAGCAGCAACAGCAGCAGCAGCAACAACAGCAGCAGCAACAGCAACAGCTAGAGGGCATTCATGGCCTGCGCAAAGGCTTGGGCCTGGCCATGGGCGCTGGCGTTGGCGCCGGCGTGGGCATGACCGCGCCTAAGCAGAACGCTGGCTGCCTGCAATTCCCGCCGCCGCCGGATTATCCGCCGCCGGCTACGACTAGTCCGCTGCACAAATCTGCTGGCAGCTCGCCGATTGCCGTCGCGGCCATTGTTAGCAGCAGCTTGGGCAGCTGCGTGGGCGTGGCCAGCGGCATGGCCGTGAATGGCAACGGGCGTCGCCAGCTGTTGCCGCGCTATCCGGATCCCGATCCCGATGCGATCGAAATCTGTAACGAGCAGCCGGACCTGACGCCGCATCATCAGCTCAATCAGGTGATTGGACGCCAGAGCAAGACGCTGGGCCGCGATGGCAGCGAAACGGCTGCGGTCAAATGGAATGCACTGCAGCCGGCGAGCAGCCTGAATCACATGCATCATCAGCAGCACGATTATTCGTATGCCTATTACGAGCCGGGCGCCGCTATGCGCCACTCGAATGTGCCCAAGCCGGAGGGCGGAGGAGCAGCTGGCGGCGCTGCGGGCGCCAATGCCAGCTGCTGTACAGCGGCACAGTCACAGGCTCAGGCTCAGGCTGGCCCGCCGCCGCCCAACTCCATACGCGCGCTGCTCTCCAAGGGCAAGAAGAACAAGCAGCTGGTCTCGCCAGCCACGCTGCAATCGTACCAGACGCGCTACCACAAACTGACCACGGCGAGCAGCCAAAGCGAGAACTTCTACGAGGAGATCAATGCGGCGGCCCTGCAATCCTCAGCGGCCACGGGTAAGAAGCTGTCGCAGCCACAGCCACAGTTGCAGTCACAGCAGTTGGGCTGCAGCGTCGGTTCGCATTCGGCGGGCTCGCTCAATCAGACGCTGGTCGAGGAGGAGCTGCGTCGCGTGCAGCATCGCCATCACAAGATACTCGGGGAGCTGAATCTCAGCGTTGAGGCCATGCTCATGCCAGAAAGTCCGCCCAAATGCAGTCCACCTGCTGTTGCTGCTGCTGCTTCTACTGCTGGCGGCAGCGGCACGCCCCCCAAGCCGAGTCCGACAGTGTGCGTAACGGCGACCAGTGGCCAGCCGGCAGTGCTGGCCAGGCTGACCTCCACCTCGGCGGACAATATCTGTGATAGCAGCGATGTGGCCGGCATTGAGCAGCTGCTGGCGACGCTGAAAGGCACGCATTCGCATCCGCATTCGCATGCGCATCCGCACACCGCCATCACCAGCAGCACCAATTGCGATCTGGACAGCGGCTTCAGCGGCAGCAGCGGCGCCAGCTACATTGGCAGCCTGCGGCTGAGCAAGACGCATCACATCAAGTGCGCCCGCCAAACGCCAACCGCATCCGCTGCCTACGCTACCCAAAGCTGTCGCTCCTTTCAGCGTGCCACCGCCGCCGGCTATGATGAAGCGCAGATTGCCGCAGTTGGCGGCGCTACCAATTCCAGTTTTTTGGCGCGCGCCTCCTGCGGCCGCCGCATCCTAAGCTGTGCTCGCATACGCGCCGCCGAAGATCCTGGACCCAGTGTGCCCACTGAGTCGAAGGCGCGCAGCTTCTGGAATCGCAAGGGCTGGCGCAAATTGCCCGGTTTCTCCACATCGACCTCCAGCATCAATGACACGGGTCTCTCAGGTGAGTCTTCACAATTGCAATTGCTTTCAACTTAATTTTCAATTTAAAACAAATTGGAATTCCACATTAGAATCGACTCGGTTCAAAACTTGGCTACACCCACTTCCCCAACCACAAAGAGCTCATCTTCTCTTAACTCTCAACTTAAAACTTTCAAGTTAAAAGTCACTTTTGTGTGTGGACAGAGTATTGCACAGTCGGATGAAACTGGCTGCCAGCTTGATTGGATATATATTATTTAGAACAAAAAGCCGCTTAAACAGAAAATTGGCTTAGGTACGGCTAACTGCCGCCATCTGTTGTATGCGCTGTACATGTTTACTTTTGCTAGCGCCATCTGCAGCAGTCCTTAGCGCAAGCTGCTTTTGGTGTGTGTGCTGGCTAAGGGTACTGTTCCACACTTAACGAACGCACAGCTTGCCCTAGCCTTTTCACGGAGCTGTTGCATACTTTTGGGCTGAAAAACTGTCTTCTGACTTTGTGGCTGCTTTAAGGTGTGCAACTTAGCTAAGATGTGCAATTGCATTTGGTTTTAAAATAAGACAAATTTACTTAGATTGAGCATGAAAGCTGCAATTGACATTTGCCTTGCAGTACATGATTTATATACCCTTGCGTGGACCATTAGGACTTTGGCACGAAATGTTTGACTCATGAAGGCGACCATCTCCGATGCCTTAAAGTATATTTATTCCTGTTCAGTATTCACACACAAGTCCACTTGTTGATCAGCCATAAAATCTAACGTCTTTTTACTTCGCATAGCCGCCAATTTGAATGCTCTTTTGAATGTAAAGTTCTTATAGGCAGTTCTTTTCCGGTTTCCAAGATATATTGACCACATCCTTCATTTAAAAGTTGCTGTCATAGAGCATTTAATATTCGGCTTGCCGTGGCTAGCTCCACTTTCTGTAACCATTTGCCAGACAACACGTCGTCAAATTCTGCAATTAATAAGTTTTTTATGTGTGTTTGTTTCTTTTTAGTGCTGGGCTTAACCCGCAATCAATAGAGGCGTTTGAAGAGCGCAACAGGCTGTTTTTTTTTTTTGCTATGCTACTTAAATGCCCAGCCACCCCCTCACAGACACCACACCAACACACACACACACACACACGCGCGCACACACACTGCATGTGCAGGCAGCCAGCGTGATAATTTTTGTGGCACATGCTCCACTGGCTCGCGCGTCGTTGGACATCGCGTAGTCGTCGTCGTTTTAGTTTCGCGTTGCCGTTTTTTATTAGTCGCTCTTGTTGTTGTTGTTGTTGTTGTTGTTGTTGCGGTTGTCGTTGTTGTGGTTGTTGTTGTGGTTGTTGTTGGCGGCTCATTTTGGGGGCTCCATTCCCATTCATCGGCGCACAGCGGATTCAGTAGAATCGATCTTGTCGTGCTTGCCGCATGTTTGCCACGCCGCGCTATCGTTTGAAGCGCACCAGTTGCTGTTCCGTTTTTATCTCCACAAATAATAGAGTGCACACACTCACACTCACACACACACACACATGCACTGTGCTTTTTATTTTGATTTTTTGTACAATTTTTATTGGGAGTGCAATGACTAAAGTGCAAGTGCAAGTGAATTATTCGGGAATGCGAGCGTAGTGCAAAAAAAAAAAAAAAAAAAGAACAAAAAACTGTGAGTCTGCGTAGCTGTGTGTTTGCTTGTACCTGTGTGTGTATTTGTGTGTTTGTATTATTGTTGTTGTCATTGTTGCAATGCTTGTTGCGGCATGACCAATGCACACCAAAATCGACCTGGCGACCCCGTTGACCCCAGCCGCAGCCAAAGGCCATCAATTTTGTTGTTGCTTTTCACTCCGGGGGAGGCGTTTACACTGAGTTGTCGTTGTCGCTGGCAACATAAATACACATGCACACACTCGTATATGTTAATGCTCGTGAGCATTCAAAAATAAATCGACAATAATTAATTTCAGCTGCAAACTAAGCAGACGTCGTCGACGTCTTTGCATTATCAGCAGAGCGCATTTTTATTTTTCAAAATACATACAAAACTGTCGATTTGTTAACAAATTTCAAGCTAGAAATGTTTAAAGCATTATTATTTCGTATTTTTTGGGCGTCTGATCTCAGATTTTGCAACGCCGATAATCAGATGACCCGCTCTATATTACTTATTTCTATTACTTAGCACGCACACACACACACACACACACGCACACACACGTACGCACGCACACGCATATGAAGAGCTAAAAGACAACTATATAGGCTACAATTGATCGGAACATATATAGTTCATACAATCAGCAGCTAATAATAATTAACAATAGGCTTTCGTGTAATGCATTTGCATGATGGCCTTTCATATAATCAAATCCGCACTGGATGGCACTCATCATCAGCATTCGCATCAGTCGCTGATGCGCAATAATCTCGGCCTGAATCGAAGTCAACAGGGCAACGGCGTTATCCTCTTAAAATGTGCGTATTTTTTATATAATTTATTTATCATTTTAGTCATTCCATCTAGCTTGATCGTATCGCAACTTTGCATTGCACAATGCATTGTCCCAGCTGTGATTTAAGCTAATGAAATTAGCCACAAATTATATTTTCATAATAATATTCCCATATTCTGTATGCCTTTCCTTTCCATAGAGAAAATCACATTTCACTACAGACTTCAGATTTAAGTATTCAAACCGACTTAGCCGCTTACCTTTATTCGAATTTTGGGCATATTTTGGGTTAGAAATATAGACCTAGATAAAGAGAAAGAAATTTTAAAAATACTTAAGATTATACTCAATGCAAATATTTCAATGATATTGAGCTAAAGCTAAACAAATACTAAAAAAAAAAAAACTAAAACTTTTAGAGCAAAGTAAACTTAATGAAAATTATGATATATAAAGAAATAACATTTATTTAAAAGAGAAGAATAATAAGATTTGCTGATCTTAAAATATTTTCACAGTTTTAAGATAAGATTATTTATTTGGTGAATCGGTTTCTATTTAACTAACTAATTTGAAATGTTCATTTCTAGTTGTTTATACAAATACAGTGAAAACTACCTAGGCCGAACATTTAGCTTCTGATCAGGAGAGGCTTAATTGGCGGTGGGATGGATGGGTATGGACTGATTCATAATGGTTTAGCAGAATAGGTCCGTCTGAGCGGGCTGTCCGCCTGTTAGGAGTGTGCGTGAGGAGAGCTTTCACTGTATTGATAATATTATCATATTGTTAGTTTGTCAATTCTCTTAACATGTCGATGTTCATCAAGCGAAAATGCCAACATGTAGCGTTTTGTTTGCAGCTTGTTGGCGTGATCTTGGCTATGCAGTCGGTATTTTGTGGCAGGTTCTTGCCCATTTAGCGGGCCGGTTGGCCATTTGGTCATAGCCAAAACAGCTGCAAGCCAAATGAATCAGCTAACTGGTTTGTGGGCAACGCCTTCGCTCACATGTCTCTTACACTCACACGGCACGACCCCGCGCCCTTTACATTGCCCGCAGATCTGCTTTTTTTTGTGACCATATTATTGTTAGTGGCGCAGCTTTTGATGACTAATATTTCGGGACGTTATTGTACCTGTTCTACAGATGCGTAGCAAAATAATTTTGGAGATATTATTTATGTAATATATATACACGGAATACACGCCACATATATACGTACACATTGCATTAACACAGTCAATCAAAAACAAGAAAATATTTAACTCGAAAAACCGGCTATCCTGGGCATGTCGAAGACTAAATACCCTTCTTTATGGCTGAGGGGCTTGCAGATATTTGGGGGGATTAGTGAATATCGTTATTGCCTAGTTTGTTTGCGATATATTAGAAAAGCAAAGGGTTAATATATATATATATATATCCGATTCGACCAGAATACCCTCTAATTTGAGCTGTTCGTATAAAAAGAAAAGTTTTCTTATGAACTGCCGTAGATCTATAATAATGCCCTTGCAGTTAGATTTTCGGTACATAATATATTCATATCTGGATCTTATGGATATATCAAATCAGCATTATGATTATCTATAAATCTTATTTAATACGTCGCATACGTCCTGACCAAGTTATAATACCTTCAGCAAGGGTATCAACACGAAGAGCAACATCCGCACAGAGCAGACACAAATTAATTAAAAGCTCTGCGCTGCCACAATGTCAGCAACAACAATGGTAATAACAATAAAAATAACAATAACAATAAGAGACGTACATCCACATACAACAATACATACACACATGCACACACAACACACACATACACATGAAGTCTAAAAGTGAACTCAAAAAATGTTAAGCAGCAGAGAACGAGATCAAAAACGAACACAAAATGCTCAGCTGACGGCACTAACCTCGCCCAAAGGAGGAGCGATTATACCAGCTGGTATTACCCGGCGTTTGCCGGCTTAATCAAAAATGCTGTGCGGCAGCCTAGAATAACAACAAGATGTAAACACCAAGAGGGAACAGATTGTCTGTGTAGATATTCCTGGACTTTGCAGCCGACTCTCGATTTGCAAGGTCTTCTTCTAAGTCCATAGCTCGAACTACTTGAGAATTATAAACGATGAAAATAAAGTCAAAGGAAAGCAAATATTAGTTACATCGACCGCCTAGTTCCAAAGAGACCCAACCATCTTTTCTAGGACGGAAAGATAAACTGGCTAAGAGGCTGCCAGGAATTTAAACCAGCTCTTACGTATATCCTAGCGATTACAGAAGAAGTGCTTCAGCGACTCTTATTTCCTGCCCATTCCACTGTTCTTTGTAGGGATTTCTCGACAAGCCAATGTCCTGTGAAGGCTCGACTTGTCAGAGCATTCAATCGAGTATATGTTGCCAGCAAATGTGTCTATGTGTGCACATTTATATATATATAGATATATATATATCTATTGGACTATCCAGATGCACATCCAGGGGTCGTCGCCCCGGAGAAGGCACTTGACTTCACCTCCAATAGCTCACGGGGGATTGCACCAACTACATATATATGTAAATATATATATAG